AAAGCAGGTACAGTCAGGGTGGGAGGCTGGCGGGAGCTGTGTGGGTGCAGGACCCCCTAGCACTGGGGTCCTACGGGGAGGGATGGTCCCCAGCACCTTACATTGAGGTCCCCAGGACCCCCCATCCCCCCGGCTGCATTGAAGACCCAGGTGGGCAGTGGCTGCTGGAGCCTCATGCTGCTGCCTGTTTCCTCAGCTGCTGCCTGTCCCTGGCCAGAGGAGCAGGAACTCGGGCAGGTCTGCTGCCTGCCATGGAGAGGGGCACGTGGTGCAACAAAGCAGCCAGACTCTGCATGATTCCCCAAAGAATTAATTCAAAACCCATTAATTTTACATTGTCTCCCTGGTTGCTCACTGTGCCCGACACTGACCCCGATGAAGAAGCTGAGGCACAGGGCTGTGTGTGAGGGAGAAATGGCTTTGGTGGAAGCATGAGGGCTGATCTCAGCCCAGGCTTTCCTATAGGGCTGTGCTGAGCTGGCAGCTGCCACCATCCCTCTGCCAGGCTTGTCTCTGCTGGCCCCTTGCTGAGTTATGACCCTTGGGAGAGGTCTGAGCATCCTCCTCTCAGGCAACACTGGTGGTCACTGGGGGTGCTGAGCACACCATACAGATCCCATCTGGGTCCACAGCACCCCTGGAACATGGGGTGTTACACATAGCTGTGTCCCTCAGTGTGGGGGGATGACACAAACCACTGCTCACAGGCTGTGAGGGGGCTCAGGTGCCATCTCACTGGTGGAAATGGGGTCTCTGCTCCAGCCTGGCTCTGCTAGGGGCTGGAATCCCCTTTGAAACACCAGGTTTTCCTGCCATGGTCTTGCCTTAGTAGTTTGGGGTCCATGTGGTCCCTTTGCCATTCCCCATGGGACACACACTGCCCCAGCTGTGTCCCCAAAGGTCTGTCCATCCCACTGCTGCCCCACTCTTTTCTCCTCCAGGCTGCTCCCTTCTCCTGATGTTACCTGTCACAGCAGCACCAGTCCTCAGCTCTCTGCGGTCCCAGTGTTGCTCAGCAGGTCTCTGCCAGCCCCACAGGGTCTCTGCAGCACCCCCCAAATGTCCAGCCCTCTCCCTCCTCTGCTTCAGAGCCCTTTCTGGGCTCCCCAGGCAGAGTGTGGGTCACACTGTGGGCACCACGTTGGGGAGGGATGTGGCCAGAGGCCTTTGGCCTGGCTGGAAGTGGCAGCAGGAGGTGGGATGGATGAGTGGATGGATGGAGAGCAGGGAGGGGGATGGGAGGTGCTGGTATGTGAGGAATGTGCCCGGGGCAGATAACCCCTGGGTGCTGAGCCCACCTCCTGGGAAGCGCAGGATGCACAGGGACACCCCTCGCCCAGGGCTGGGCTGGGGAGAGCCCTGCTGGAGGCAGAGGGCTAGGGGGGCACAGCCAAGCTCTGTCCAAAATGCTGAGGCACCTGTTCCCAGGGCCCCCTGGGACTGATGGCAGAGGGGAGACGCTGGTGCTGGGATTGGCACCTCTGCCTGTGCCTGCGATGCCAAGGGGACAGGCAGCCAGCAGGTCAGGGGGCTGGGGGCTGAGAGAGGGCAGGCAGGGAGCCCGTGGGGACAGCCCTGGGGAAGGGGGGACAGCAGGCACTGCCAGCTCTTGTGACTCCTCAGAGCCTGAGTCTCCCCTGTCCCCATGTCCAACCCAGTGAGCACCTTGTCTCACTGTTACCAAGCTGTGTGACAGGCAGGGAAACTGAGGCACGGGACTGGAGGTGCCAAGAGCTGTGTGTCCCTGTGTCTGCCTGGGTTCTGCCTGTCCCCAACCCTCCTGACACCCCTGCCTGCTGCCCTGCCCCCAGGTACCCCCCCAGCTGCCAAGATGTCCAGCAAACGTGCCAAAGCCAAGACCACCAAGAAGCGCCCGCAACGCGCCACCTCCAACGTCTTCGCCATGTTTGACCAGTCCCAGATCCAGGAGTTCAAGGAGGCCTTCAACATGATCGACCAGAACCGCGACGGCTTCATTGACAAGGAGGATCTGCACGACATGCTGGCTTCCCTTGGTAGGGGGACCCTTCCCTTGTGCCTTCATGTCTCCCTCTGTCCCCAGCACCCCCTCAGCCGGTGGGGAGAGCTGCTGGGTCATCTGGTGCTCACGCCGGGGCTCAAGGCTGGCACTGATGGGATGCTGCTGAGGCACAACTCTTGCGCTTTGGGCCAGTCCTATGCTGGCTGCAAAACCAGCAGGTTTTGCGGGGGGGCTGGCACTAGTTGACCATAGAAGGTGCATTTGTGGAGGCACCCAAGGGCAGCAGCTGGGGGTGTTTCTCTTCCAGCTGTACTCACTAAAAGGGAAGAGACCCTTGGTGTTGGGGAAGCTCTGCCCTAGGAGCAGTCACCAGCTGCAGCCATGGAGTAGGAGTATTTGAGTAGTCTCATCTCAGGATATCACCTGGGATCATCTGCTGCAGGACAAAGCTCTCTGTTGCTCTCAGCCTGGGTGACAGAAGAGGCACCAGCATGATTCCTCAGCCTCTTGAGACTCAGTTCTGGCTGCACTGCCCACCCAGAGCCCACTGCTCCTTTGCTTCAGGCCACAGCACCCACCTCCTGCTCCCTGCGGTACTTCCATGGCACCTTGGGAGGTCTGTCAATGATTGACACAGCAGCCAAACCTGTTCTGGAGATCCTGCCTGGCCATGGGAGGGACCTCCTTCCTCCCTGGGAGTCGCAGCTCTGGGAGCAGGGAGAGGCCAGGCACGGGGGGCACGGGGACCTGGGCAGGGGTTGTTAACCCCCCCCGGTGCATCCGTGGCAGGAGCAGTTCTAGGGGCATCAGCAGCACCAGGCTCTTGAGGGGACATGGCTGCCCTGCTCCTCGGGTGCTGCGTGGCAGGGGAACAGGGCAAAGCTGTGGCTTCAGTTCCCAGGGACTCCCAGATGGATCCCTGTGCCTCCCGTGGGGTTGAGCCTGGCACAATGTGCTTCCATGGGGTGTCTGGCATGGGGCAGGACACAGAGAGAGTTGTCAAGGTGGGGAGCCCTGGGCACTGTGGAAACCCCCTTCTCTTTGTTTGGGGGGTCATTTGTGATGGAACAAAAAGTTCCCAGGCAGTGGGGGGACAGGCTGGCCCTGGGGACGGGCACTAGGGGGGACAGAGCTCACCCACACCCCCTGCCTGTGTCTGGCAGGGAAGAACCCCACCGACGAGTACCTGGAGGGCATGATGAGCGAGGCGCCGGGGCCCATCAACTTCACCCAGTTCCTCACCATGTTCGGGGAGAAGCTGAACGGCACCGACCCCGAGGACGTGATCCGCAACGCCTTCGCCTGCTTCGACGAGGAGGCCTCAGGTACGGGCAGCCCCTTGTCCCTGAGGCCAGGACAGAGGCTGGGGCTGCACCCCTGGGGACAGCCCAGCCCCAGAGCAGGCAGGCTGGGCAGGGGGGTCTGCAAGGTAGGTGAGAAGGTCCTGTTGCTCAGCCCGTCTGTGGTGTCCCCTGCTAACGCTGCCCCTGCTCCCGCAGGCTTCATCCACGAGGACCATCTGCGCGAGCTGCTGACCACCATGGGCGACAGGTTCACTGACGAGGAGGTGGATGAGATGTACCGGGAGGCGCCCATCGACAAGAAGGGCAACTTCAACTACGTGGAGTTCACCCGCATCCTGAAGCACGGGGCCAAGGACAAGGACGATTAGAGCTCAGGGCCACTCGGCCCCTCTGCATCCCCTGGCACACGCCCCACACCCCTCGGCCCCCCTTGCTGCCCCACAGCAGGCTCCCCCTGTGGGAAACACCTCCCAGGACCAGCACCCTGCACTGGGTGGTGCTTGGAGGGGAAGCATTCCCTCACTTTGCTGCTGTGCTCCCATCCAGCAGCCCCAGAGCTCCCCTCCCATCGCCTTTCCCACCCACATCTCGACCTGCTGGGACCCCCAGCCTGGCTGGGAGCAGCCACTGATCCCCTTGGAACACCGTCCTGCCAGTGCCATCTCAGGGCTGTGGCACAGAACGTGCCTCTCCCGTCTCCTGCTGCCCTCCCTTCCACCCCAGCTCTTTTAGGGCTTCAAAGCCAATGATCAGAAGGATTTGGGAGACGAAGCATCGGATAAAACCCGCTGGGTGTGGGTCAGTGGTGTGTGGTGTGTAGCTCCCTGCTGACCCTTGCCATGCCGGGTAGTGGGCCTGGGGGGGCTGAGCTTGGACACCACAGCCCCCTCCTCATTGCCACTGCCAGCCCAGGCCCCTTCCAGAAGGGCAGCCTGGTTTCAAAGCCAAGTTTCTCCCAAACCACATAAAATCAGCTTGAGCGTAATTTCCTGCCTTTGCTGGTGGGATGAGGGTCATTCTGCTCTGCCTCCACGTGGGGGTGGGCAGAGGGTTTGGGGTCCCAGGGGTTCAGCCCCCTTTTGTGAGCGGGCAGGGGTGGCGGTAAGGGACAGGGTGGGTAAGAAACATGGAGAGGGAATGTCCCCTTGGTTTGGTGATTCATCACCACCCTGACAAGGGTGTGGGGGGCTCAGGCCTTGCAAAGCTGCTTGAAGTCAGCCCATCTCCTTGCCCTGGAAGGATGAGTTGCCTGCATTTCTTTATTTAAAATGGGGAAAAATGTGATGAAAAAGTCACAGAACCTGGCCAGGGCACATCATGTACCAGAGGTGCCAGCACACTAGGAAAACTTGGTGGGGTCTGTGGGCTCATGCTGCTGGTATCAGGGGGGTCAACAGCCTCAGTTTAGAGGCCTGACAAGCCAGAGGACATGCTCTCATCTGGGAGGTGACCCGTGGTTGGAAAGCTTCTCCTTTGTTCATAGATCATGGAATGGTTTGGGTTGGAAGGGACCTTGAAGGTCATCTAGATCAACCCCCCCTGCAGGGGCAGGTACAACCCCCACCAGTCCAGGCTGCTCCAAGCCCCATCCAACCTGCCCTTCAACACTGCCAGGGATGGGGCAGCCACAGCTTCCCTGGGCAACCTGGGCCAGGGTCTCACCACCTTCGCACTAAAGAATTTCTTCCTGATGTCTAATGTAAATTTCCCCTCTTTCAGCTTAAAATTATCACCCCTGATCCTCTCACTCCCTGCCCTTGTAAACAGTCCCTCTCCAGCTTTCCTGGAGCTGCCTCAGGCACTGGAAGGTGCTCTAAGGTCTCCCCACAGTCTTCTCTTCTCCAGGCTGAACACCCCCAGCTCTTTCAGCCTGTTCTCACAGGAGAGGTGCTCCAGCTCTCTGAGCATCTTGGTGCTTCTATTTCCCAGGTGTCACCAACACATGAAAGATTAACTGAATTACCAAGGACACAGAGACATGGCAGGTTGAACATGTGCTTCCCTTTCAGCAACTGCCCCAGCCCAGCTCCAGTCTCCTTGATTCCATGCTCCTTTCCTGATTCCCTGCAGTACCAGGGGAAATTTACAGTTCTCCCACTTCCAGAGTAAAGTCCCAGGCCAGGAGGCTGCTGGAGAGTGGGATGGTGTTTAAATAGTCCCCTTGATTGGGATGGACACCAAAGTGAACAGCTCCCTGACATCACATTGAGGCAGATGGGCTGAAGCTGGAGATAAAGTGAGTGGCATGGGAAAGGGCCTCCAGCTTCTGCAGGGTCTCTGTTATGCTGGGGGCAAACTGTCTTCTGGAGGCAGTTGCATCCAGGAGTGATGTTCAGCCCCACTGACCCCAAAAGATGAGCTTGTGTGACCAGCCCAGGTTCTCCTGGTGTTGGGAGTGAAACAGGCTTGGTGTGTGGCCACCACCAGCTGTGGGCACTGCTGGCCCTGAGCAGAGAGATGCCAAAGGCTCTGGCATGGGCTGTCAGAAGCAGCATCTCAAGCAGCTCCTCCAGCTGCTGTGTCTGACCTGCCCCTTCACCTGCATGGCTGTGGTGACAGGAGAGCATCCTTCAACCCTGATGCCAACGAAGCAGAGGACCTTTGTTACTGGACACTGGGCTACGTATGGGAAAAGTAAATATGGCCCTTGCCAAGAGGAGTTCTGCCTCACCAATCTCCTGGTGCTCTTTGCAGGTGGAGCAAGAAGTTATTTGGATAACAGAGATGATGCTTGAAGGATTCAAAAGCTGAGTGAAGAGCCTCGAGATTCAGGTGCAGTTGTAGGGGTTGATGGGAAGTGAAGCACATGGGGAAGATCAACCCTGACTCCCCAGCTGAGACCACAGACTCCAAATGCCCTGGGACAGCACCAAGGAATGGTCAGAGCTCAGCAGCTGCCAAAATCAAGAAAAAAAGGAGAAAGAAAATCACATGCTCAGAAGTACTAGGGGAAGAAAGGAGATTAAGAGAGAGATCATTGCTGGGCCAAGGTCCTTCAATTGCTCACACCTTGAATATAAAAGGAGATAGAGCAAAAGTGTTCTGGGAAGGGCAACTGGGAGATTTGGCAGCACAGACCCCAGGAGACCTCAGGCAGGCTGAGCCCCCTGGCAGGGCAGGGAGAGGTGGGAGCAGGGTGGCAGCATGGGGACAGTGCTGCTTCCCACTCACCTTGGGCTGTGCTTGGGCCTTCCCAGAGCTGTGGGAGCCACATCTGGCTCAGGGTGTCTGTGGCCAGGAGCATCTCGCCCTCAGGCTCTGTTCTCACCCTCCTTCAGCACCTGCTTATGGCCACGGTGAGGGACAGGAACCCAGGAGACAGGCCAGTCAGCACCTTTTCCTCCAAGCTCAAGATCAGAGCATCCCACAGTGTAAGAAATCAAGTAAGATTCTGCCTTTGCCTCCGTTGTCACTGCTAAGGCTGATCTTCAGGAGTCCCACACCACCAGGAACACAGAGGGAGATGATTACAAGGACAAGGAGGAAGAAGATTAAGAGGTAGCAGTAAATAACAGCATGATGAGGAAGGAAGCAGAAGACAACAGTATGAGGAGGACAAGGAGGGGGAATGGGAGGAACAGGAAGAGGAGGACGGCCAGACAGGACAGCGTGGTGAGGAGCATAAGGGAGAGGAGGAGGAAGAGGAAGCAGGAGAAAATAGGATGAGAAGGCGAAGCAGGAGGCAGAAAGAACAGCATTAAGAGGAGGAGGAGGAGAAGCAGATGGAGGAGGAGGCAGGAGGAGACATGATGAGGAGGAGGAGAAGGAGTAGGCAGCAGAAGACAAGAGCAGGAGAGGGAGGATTAGGAAAAGGAAGAGGAGGAGGAGTGGACTGCAGCAGACAGCAGCATGACAGGGCAGAGGAGGAGGAAGAGGCAGCAGGAGACAGCAGCATGAGGAGGTGGAGGAGCAGAGGGAGGAAAATGAAGAGGAGGAGGCAGAGGTAAATAACAGCATGATGAGGAGGAAGAGAGGCAGCAGGAGGAAACATCATGAGGAGCACAAGGAGAAGGAAGATGAGGAGGAGGAAGCAGGAGACGAAAGTATGATGGAAATGAGGATGCAGCAGAAAGAAAAAAAAAACAAGGAGGAGGTTTCCTGAGAAGATGGTGGTGTGATGGGGAGGTCAAGGAGAAGGAGGCCACAGGAGACAAGAGCATGACCAGAAGGTGGAAGAACTGGAGGAGGAGGATTAGGAGGCAGCAGGAGAGAACAGAAAGAGGAGGAGGAGGCAGCATGAGATAACAGCATGAGCAGGCAGAGGAGGAGGAGGCAGCAGGAGACAACAGCACGAAGAGGAGGAACTCTGGGAGTTCAGCTCTCCAAGCTGTTCACACCAAGGGCTCTGTTAATACAAAAGGTCTTTAAAAAGTATTGACAGCTGAAGTGATCTCCATGTAAAAGCACCTGAAATGACTGATGTGTGAGGACACCCAGGACAGCCCAAGGGTGGAGAGCACTGGCAGGGAAATGCAGGGCCCTGCTGGGGGTGTTGCCATGATGCACATCATGCAGAACCCCTGCTGCCAGCCTGTAGAAGGATAGAGAGAGGGAGAAGGGGAAGCAAGCTTCCCAGGTGAGCCAAGTCTCTGTAGGGACAGAGAATGTGATGGAAACCTTGAAGTGAGAACAGTCTCCATCCCTGTTCCACATTCTCTTCTCCCAAGAATCAGGCTTACAGCAGAGCACCCCCACCCGACAGAGCCCTGGGCTCACAATCACTTCGAGCATCCCACCTGGTGGTGCAGCTGCTGAAGAGACCTGTTGGAACTGCTCCTGCCGAAGAAACTGACTCTTGGAAAATCAAGTGACCAAAGACTCACAAGGAACATGGACAGCAGGGAGGGAAAACCTTTCTTTTTTCCCCAGGCAGCACCTAGTTCCCAGAGCCAAAAGGCATCTCCAGTCAGGGCACTGTGGGGGGGGACTGTGGCCCCAGGCAGGGATGAAGAATTTGCTGGTGCCAGGAACTTGGGCTGCAGCCCAATCCAAACCCATGTCTTGCCTGCCCTGCCTTCAGCCTCCATGAGTATGAAACAAAGAGCTCAACAAACACAAAACTGCCTCCCTGGAAAGTGCTATTGGAAAGACTGAGACAACTCACCAAAACTGACAAACCCACTCAGGGAAATGGATGAGCAGGACATGAAAAGGTGACCCCATCTATTCTACAGCCTCACTCACGACAAACATTCTGTCAGGCCAGGGCACAGCCAGGACAACCAGAGATCAGGTTGGCCAAGCAAGACCTCCCTTTCATAAAGCCCTGCTGGCTGGCCCTGATCCCCTGGCTGTGCCACACTTGCCATGGGAGCTCCCTCAAGATCAGCCTCTCCATGATCTTTCCTGGTGCTGAGGTCAGGCTGACAGGCCTGGAGTTCCCCAGATCCTCCTTCTAGCCCTTCTTGTAGATGGGGTCACATTAACCAGCCTCCAGTCCTCTGGGACCTCCCCTGTTGAC